CAACATACATGTACAACATACATGTACAACATACATGTACAAAATACGTGTACAACATACATGTACAAAATACATGTACAAAATACGTGTACAACATACATGTATAAAATACATGTACAACATACATGTACAACATACATGTACAACATACATGTACAAAATATATGTACAACATACATGTACAACATACATGTACAAAATACATGTATAAAATACATGTACAAAATACAAGTACAAAATACATGTACACAATACAAGTACAACATATATGTACAGTACAATTTTGAAGGAAAAGTCCACAAAAACAGATATGACCAAAGGCCTAGCATGCTGTACAGGAATGGATATTGTTGTCATTTTTTTACATTGTTGGTTAAGATCCATCCATCCATCCATCCATCCATCCATCCATCCATTCATCCATCCATCAATACCCTCTTCCTCCTTTTTGGGTTAAGGGGGTCACTGGTTCCCATATCCAGCAGTGTGAGAGGTGGGCTACACCTTTAAGGTTGACATTTTCAATCAGTTTGACTCCAACTTAACTGATTATTTTTTACTCTAAAAGTTAATCAGTTGCAGATTTAAGTCTAATAATTACTTTCTGGGACATTGATTAAAATTAATCAACTGATTCCAAAAATATTTTGGTAATGGACAAATGTGCACACACAGACAAAAACATTATCACCCACCTTCTCATTTGGGTGGCAGGCAATGATTAAAGAAGAACGTTACTGGTGTTTTTACCCCAGTTCAGTCCAATTTTTGCTTATTTGCACATAAAAAAGTTCATGTTTTTGCTGACAGAAGATGAGCAGTTCACTAAATGTTTTGTAATGTGATGATTGGTTTCAGTGCAGCTCCCGTTATCACAGGCAAAGCTCGTAGTGTTAATATTGAAATGAAAACACCAGTCTGCCGTATCTGAACACGTCCTAACAAACAACACAGTATCTTTTGAATGGCTGTTGATCAGCATTCACTACAAAATGGTTCAAAAATTGACCAAACCAGTTTCAGGTCAAATGGATGATTAACTCTGAATACAACAATGAGTCACTGAGATGTTCTGCGCCCGCTGACTTTTTGCAGAACAGTCATTTTTATGAACATGCTTGCTAAGACCTGAAGTTTTAATGAGAACTCTTATCAGAGCTAGATTAAACCAGACATTAGGGACAGAACAACTTGTTACTGCTTTTTATTTTTATTATTGCTAGAATCTAAACCACACTTTAACCTCATAAAGGATGCAGCTGCCGATCTTTTTTGAATAGATAAGCAGATTTGGTCAGATTATTTACCACAGGTTTTGATTTGTTGCAGTATATTTCAGTTTGAATGCCTCAGAATATTGTTACTTAATATAAAAAGGGTCTAGGTCACACATCGTGCTGTGCAGAAACAGATTGTTTTCTTTCGCATTAGCAGAGCCTCTCTGGCTCCTTGAACAAACACCGGCGCATTAACTGCATCCATTTTGGAAAGACCACCATTTCCTTATAGGAGGACAGGCGAGATCAGGTGTGTTCTGGATTAACGATTAAACCCAAACTTTATCTAGTGAAGCTCCTCTACTGGCCTCAAAACTGAACTCTGGGTGTTTCAGCTGAGTTATGCAACTTTGGATCATTTTGCTTCGTGCTGTCAAAGAAAATGCTGGAAGGGATCTTTTTCTTGCTCTGTCTGCCGCCTGTTCTGGCAGCAGAACTCTGTAAACCAGGTATGTGACCTGTTAAACTCTAACTTTTAATTAAATAACTTCATTCTGTATCACATTTCGATTGTGCTCTGAAAAAGTACGGGTTTTGTTAGTGTAAAACTTTCAACTGGGCTGTATTATTTTATAATCCACTAATCTCTCTGCTGGAACACTGTCAGATTAGGCACATAGCTCAAATATTTGCCTCATAAATTATGCTTACACTGTGATCATTGTAAAGGCCATGACAAATCTGAGAAACAAGTCTCGAACTTTTGTTGCATGTTTCTTCTTCAGATGCTCCAGGTGCCTACAAAGTTCGACTCAGCATCAAAACTGCTCTGGGAGATCAAGCTGTATGTACATTTTTGAAAAGAATACTCGGATATCCTAAATAATCCTACCACCCTGATTAGATAGCATCATAAATAAAGTTTTTCCCTTCCCTCATCATCTGTTCATGTGTAAGTGTTTCAGCCTAAAGTTAAAAACCACTCTTGAGATTTAGATCAATGTTAAATGCAAACAACAAAAACACTATTAAATTGAAAAAGATCACTTTCAAATGACTAGACCATCCGTTTAAAATGAAAGAAGAAAAAAGCATGAGCATATTTGTACATTAACTATTTACAATTCAAATTTAACACCTGAGTTTTTGTTGTGATTTATTTGACCTTTTCAAAGTTTATGCAGTTGAAAATACAATGGAACATGATGATTGAGACGTTTTTTTATTCTTTTGAAAAAAATAAAAGCTTATTCTGAGTTTGAATCCAGAAACAATTCTCAGAAAAGTTGGAGCAGAGTCAAACAAACATTAGGCTCTGATCAGTGAAAGACACACATCTCTTAAAACTGTCTTTAGTCTGACAAATCCCAAACTTTCACTGGTCTGTGCACACCGAAACACCAGCAGCAGTGGTGACGCAGAACTGCACCACCGGGGTCATATTTAATATACATAGATATGCATGTATATATATATATATATACATAGATATGCATGTATATATATATATATATATATATATATACATAGATATGCATGTATATATATATATAT